TTAAAATTTTGAAATATAAAGTAGAAACAAACATTATTGTGAAAAAAGAAAGTCAAACTTTCGATAATTGAATTATATTATTAATCTAGACAAGCATAGAGTTCGGCACAATGCTTTGCATCACTGTCTACGTCATCCATGTTTTTAAAAATTATATATAAATTTAAATTAATTAAGTTTCATAATCGTTTGTTCCTTGTAAAAAAAAAATATATATATATATATATATATATACGTAACTCAAACAAACTTTTCAAACACCTTCGTATACATATATAAGAATCCATTACTTTTGGTTAATATTATCGAAATAATATATTTTTAAAAAATAATATTACATACGTAATTAATTATACATATTGGTTTGTATAATTTGATCATGAAAAAGAATTACCATATAAATTTAATAATTACATAATCTCTAAATTATTTCCTTGAAAAGAATATTAAAAGGGCACGTGGTTGAATTTCCAATATGTGGAGAGCATGATCTCTTCCATTCCGTGCAATTGAACAATCATATCTTCAGTCAGTCTGTTGTATAATATTATCTTCATCTTCCACAATTTTTTTTTTTTTTTTTAATTTTAAACCCTCTCTCTCTCTCTCTCTCTCTCTGTACATAAATGTATATATACCTACCTTTATATTGTTTATTTTTTATTATTTCGGAATTTGAAAAAAATAAAATAAAATAATTTATATTTTTAAAGATTATTCAAACAAATCTCCATCCGTCAAAATGATTTCTTTTTAATTTTCTAAAATTGATTTTGATACTGTTTATTTTAGACCATTTTTATTCAAATAAAATAAAGTGGAAGATTAAAGATATAGATTGATAGAGTATGGAGGAGATATATGTAAATGGTTATACTTTGTTTTAATTAACTTTTAAGTATTTATTTAAATATTTATAAAAATTTTAAAAATAAGGTAAATGAAATGATGATCTGCCTGGATTATATAAATTTGTGTTTTTATTACCTAAAAAGGTTGAAATGAATATATACTGGCTCCAATCAAAGCTCTTGTACAGCAAATTGAAAAGAAAGAGAATGAGGAAAAACAAAGAGAAAAAAAGAAAAGAAGAAGAAATGAGAGAAAAAGAACGAGTGACAAAGTAAAAAGAAAGAACAAAAAGAGAAAAAAAGTCAGAGAAAGAAAGGATTTATGTCAATCTTTCAACAATCTGACTTCATCTGTAGGCGGTGGGAGAGCTTCTTCCATCTGTTGCTTTGACTTTTCTCCTTTTTCTCTGTTGGTTCAATGGGCATGGATTCACTTTCTCTCAAGCATGGTAATTGGTGAAAGGAACAAGGATTGTGGTTTCTTGTGTTGCTGCAGTTTATTTGATTATCTGTTAATGGAAGATTGCTTCAGGTATAAAGTCAATCAGATTATGATAACTGCTTTCTATTTCTACCATACTTTTACTTTAATCTTCCCCTCTACACTTGTCTACTCATTCGATCAGACATATTTTGTCAATTAGTGCATTAAAGTTTAGATATGAGGATCCACTGGGACCCCGAGTGGCGTCCTCCGCCATTCTCCTCCACTCAATGGCTTTCTTCTTCATTTCTTTCCCTTTGTCGCCTTCCATTAGCTCTCGAACAAGCCTCCCAACTTCATCTCTTTTAACATCACTGTTAATCTCCATCCCTATACCCCATTCCTGGCAACTGTATTTGCAATTTGTCTGCTGCTCTGCAAAGAACGGCCAACAGAGCATCGGCACGCCCGCACTGATACTCTCAATGGTCGAATTCCACCCGCTATGTGTCAAGAATCCGCCGATTGATGGGTGGCTTAAAACTTGTTCTTGTGGGCACCAGTTAATCAGTAGACCTCTCTCCTTGGTCTCTTCCATGAACTCCTGCGGCAAGATTGCTGACTCGCCGGATACAAGATCAAGTCTGATCACCCACAAGAATTTCTGGTTGCTGCTCGCCAGCCCCCAAGCGAACTCAACCAGTTGGTTGGCTGTCATGACAGTTATGCTTCCAAAATTTGCATAAACAACTGAGTTTGGTTCTTTTGAGTCTAGCCATGAAAGACACTCGTGCTCTTCCTTCCATAAACTTAACCCTATCTGCTTTGTTTCATCGTTTGCAAGATGGTTCACTCGAAGGTGCAAAGGGCCTACGGGAAAAACAGGAGGAAGCATTGGAACCATTGCGGTCAAAACATCGTGCTCCAGTGCATCAAACGTGTTCAACACAATTGCAGAGGCCCTTTTAGCTCTCTCTGTCTCACCCAAAATATAATCTAGCATGACGAAATTTCGATCAGTAGTCCTGAGAAAGCTTGGCAGGTCTTTCAATCGGATACCCTTCATGCCAGGTATCCAATCTATAACAGTGTCCAGGTATCCATTTGTCAAGTAACTCTCATCTGCAAACGAAAGGAACAGCGCTAATATTAAAACCCAACTCCTAATATTATATGTATATGTATATGTAGAGAGAGAGAGAGAGAGAGAGAGAATGAGAGGGAAAGTCCAGTCAACTAGCCTTTGAGAGGAGTAAGGCCCTTTTGAATGAGTTGACGGTAGTGAAGATAAGCCATGAAGCCACAAGCGCTCGGAGTCCAAAATAGCACAATGGGGAGGCCCAGTTCTTCAGCAGCTACAACGGTGAAGCTCATGGATCCGTCGGAGACAATACAGGTGACGGGAAGAGCATCGGAGTGGTTGAGTTTGTGGAGAAGTTGTTTAAAGTGAGGAAGGCAGGTCTTGCGAGTGGATTCGCAAAGGGAGGGTATGTCTTGGGTTGCGTCGACGTCGGTGGGTGGGAGGCCGTCGGGAATTGTCTGGAAGCAGAAGGAAGGGAGGCCGTCGAAAGAGTTGGGGGCTCTGGTTTTAAGCAAGCGGTTATGGTTAAACTCAGTGTTGACGAAAGTGACATGGAAGCCGTAACTGTGTAAGAGCTTTGCTAACTTTAGCATAGGATTTATGTGGCCTTGAGCTGGATAAGGGATGCAAACTGCATGGGGTTTCTGTGTGAACCTTGCAGAATCCATTGAATGTCTGGCTATTCTCTCTCCTGATACTGAAAACGAAGTCACGAAATAGAGATGGTTTAGAAGATGAGTTTGAGGCTTATATGTGTGTGTGTGTGTGTATGCGTCAAGGGTGAACCGCAGAAAGGGAAAAAAGGTGAACTACTTTTTATTCACTAAATAATATGATAATTTAAAGAATAATTGTTATTTACTTGAAAATTTTTGGAAGATGATAATATGTACTTTTGGTCATAAACTTTTAACTTGAAATTGTTTTATACCATTTATGAACTGGAAAGTTGGAATTTTCAATTAAAAGCTTTCTGTTTTTCTTTCTTATCTTATTTTCAATTTTAATTATATAATTTATACTCAAACCGATCCAGTTGGAATTTTCAATATTAATTGTTATGAGTAACTCAAATTTGATCATAATAAAATATTTTTATCCATAAATTGATAATAATTTAATAACAACAAAAGTTATATTAATAACTTCAGTTTAATTAATATATTAATAAAATAAACTCTATACTATTGGTTTAACTATTATGATTCTGATTTTTGTTTCTTCCAGTGTAAAAATATTATCAACAATTTAATCCTATAAAAAAAATTTAACGTGGCTTATTTTTCATGATGATAAGGCGGTCTTTGATTTTCATGGTTGTCATTGCTTTTCTGCGGGGTGACGGTATTTTAACTTTTCTGTTTTTGGTAAATAATATTTGGAAATATTGAATTCAAAATTTTCAATCCTAAAATTTTGGATTTTCTTGGGAAGCGGTCCGACCCTATCCGAATAAAATATTATGAAAAAAGTATATTATCTTTGATTTAGAATATGCCCTATTGGGCTTCATGCGGCCCATGATTTGTGATGCATAGTGGTCTTGCTCGCTCCAAAATTTTACACCAATGGCTTCATGCGGCCCAAGTATTCTGATACTTAGTGGGCTTGCTCGCTCCATTAATGTAAACCTAGGTCTATTGGGCTTCTACCTCACTGACAATTTCCCCACATGTCTCTTATTCTTTTTCAAAAAATATATATATATATATTAAAAATTATTTAAATGAAAATTTAATTGCTATTCCAATGGTAAATATGTAACTCACCTGTCTAAAAAATTATTCATCCAATATTCTTTTACTATTATGAGATCACATTTTTTTTTAAAAAAAAGAAAATCATATATTACAATTTTCACCGTTTAAATTCCCAAGTCTAAATTATATATAATGGTATAGCAATTATTCAACAAAAAATAATTAAAAAAACAAAGGGATAGAAACGTAGGGTATCAATTTATGAAATTTATTTACATAAATATGCATATAAAAATAGATATCGTAGATTATGTAAATAGGCAGATCATTGAGAGTCATTAAACAAGAGTGTAACATTGAGAAGTCAACGGGTCAAACAACGCAGGTAAAAGGTATTTTCTAGAATTGACACCCACAGAATTGTAGCTCGCACCAGAACTCGGATCCACTAGTAGGTCCCCGGCGTACCCTGGGTATGCCCTCTTTCCGTACACTCCAGTACAAGCCGAAGCCGCCTCCAACGGCGCCTCAGCCGAGCCGAGGAAGTAGCCGTTCCCGTACGGGTTAGTCACTGTTCCCGCCAAGAGGGTCGCGATATTAATAATCATCCCGTCAATCCCAACGTCGGCGTTGGGCGCTACAAGTGGCGGGGTTTGCGGTCCGTAGATAGGCTGGTGGAATGGCCATGCGCATTGACCCGGGCATTGACTCACTGAGTTTCCCACCCAGATGATGGCTGAGGTCTTTTCGGCGTTTGAGGCGTGGAAGCCGCAGTTGCTCATGCAAAACCCTTCAACGGCAACGTCCTCCGCCGTCAGAACGAGTGTCAGCCCACCTCTTCCACCAGAGTTCACACGCTGGGCCAACGCAGTAATATCGGATTTCTTCAAGAATTTCCCGATGGAGCAGTTGTTATCAGAGATTTGGTTGGCCAAGATAACATGAGTCTCCCGCTTGCCAGCTCTTCTCATGTAGCTCTGAAGAGTATCCCACCAATGCGATACCAGTGGCTGTGTAGAGGAGTGGTGTTGATATTTTTTTCGTGGGTTACTGAATGAGAGAAGAAAGTCTGCAATAATGGATGTTTGGGACGGTGAGAAATTGCCATACCAGAAAATAGTAACAGGGAGATGCCCTTCAAGCAAAACCCCATTATGGTAAGTCAAGGTCATGGCAGGCGGGTGGTATAACTCAGTCAGCTTTCTTGATCCAAAACACAAGTTAGCTAAAAAACTCATAATTAAAACATGAACAATAACTCCAGATTTCAAGGAAGGAGATGAACCCATTTCAATTTATTATAATTTTTGAAGGATTATGATGGGATACAGAAAGTCAGAGTTTTGATCGGATATGAGGGTTAAGAGAGAGGGTATATATAGTGGACCTGGTGCATGAACTGAGGAAATGGAGATTGGCGATGTAGCTTTCAATTGCAATTTGAGAGTTTAATTACGGAGAGATCACGAGAAGAAGGGGAAGATAAGATAAGGGAAAAAGACATCTGGCAAGAATCTGCTTTTTCATTTTATAAATATAGCTTGCATGGAGATTAGGAGCGGGATTAGCTTTGCATGGGTTTTCCCTAGGCATTTTTTTATCACTTACATTGTTTAATTTATCGATTAATGTTGATTAATTAATTAATTTTCTTTTTAATTTATCATTTTTATAGTTGAACATATAGGGAAACATGCAATGAACTTGGGGGGCATGGGATTCCCCAAATTTTAGTTGTTTTTTGATTTTATCTAAGAATTAGAGTGAAATAAAACTCCCCATGCTTATGGTGTCAGATGCCATGTTTGGTTACTCATGACCAACTGCAACGTTATGGTATCTAATCAGTACCAATGTTATTGCAGCTAATTAATGGTTTTTATTAATACCCATAAAAGGGTAAACTTCATAGCATTGCTTATATATACATACACATATACATATTCATAGCATTTGTATTATTGAAATATTATTTTTGATAAACCAAATCCAACGCTGGATTTTTGTTTTAAGATAAATATTCATTTTTATTAATGGGTCCACAAATTCTCTCTCTTATTCAATAATATACATATATAAGATCGCAAGAATATAATGGTTTTAATCAAATGGAAAACTAAATTAAAAGAAACTTTATTTTTATCATATGGTTAAACCTCCACAACCTAGATATATGCATGTATATATAGTTTATGTGAATAGGATAGGTAAGGCCAAATTATTATCATGAGTAGGAAGAAGAATATTCGGCCGGTGAGTATGGGTTCAAAACTATGGATGGATAGGAAACCATTATCATCCTATATACTTGTCATGCATGTCTAGTTAAGAAAATTGTTTGGTTTGTTAGTGATGAAAAAGCTGGACAATTCTCAGCTTGAGCTATTTCTTCATTGATTAAATAGTAACAATCATACATCCAATTTATAGAGTTTGGCTACTCTTTTTAGGAATTCATGGACTTACACACACCACAAGAAAACAAAAAATATTTACAGAGGATCAACACAAAGGAACGAAAAATATGCAGAGCTTTAATGGTTTTCAGAAAGGGACGATTGTGTTTTGCGGGAGAACGATTTCATTCTAGTTGTCAGTCATGTGCACTTTGTCTGCGAGCTAAAGTTGAGCTGGCATGTTGACGAGGACCTTTTGCTGACATGGACAAGCTTGCACACTTATCTTGCTGCTGGCAATTGCTATTCGACTAGTCAGTGTTCTTCACATTCTCCCTCAAACTTGTCAAGGGAAGTGGTCGACGAATCGGTCTAAGTTTTTTTCTGAAATACTTAACCTGTGTTTGTGACAGAGGTTTGGTGAAGCAATCGATGGTTTGATCACATGAGGGAACGTATCTAATGTCCAGAACTGCTTAGGTCACTTTTTCGTGAGTGAAGTAAACATCAACTTCAATATGTTTGGTTCGCGAATGAAAAATGGGACTGCTTGCGAGAGCTGTTGTGCTCATATTGTCACACTAGACTATAGAAGTTTGTGGAATAACAATGTTTATTTCTTTGAGTAAGGACTCCAGCCAAGTTATTTCACAAGATAGGTGAGCTAAGGCCCTGTACTCAGACTCGGCACTTGATCTTAATACAACATTTTGTTTTTTCGAGCTCCAATAAACCAAGTTTTCTCCAAGGTAAACACGGTAGCCAGAAGTTGACCGGCGAATATCCTTTAAGCAAGCCCAGACTGAATCCGAATAGCCCACCATGTTCAGTCTGTTGCTGGGTTTAATAGGGAGACCAACATCAATTGTCCTTTTTAGGTACCAGAGAACTCTTTTCAAAGCTTTCATGTGAAAATCAGTTGGTGTTTGCATGAATTTGTTGCATTTATTGACAATGTATGATATGTCTGGCCTTGTGTGTGTCAGATATTGAAGGGATCCTATCATTTTTCAGTAGGAAGTTGGATCAATCAGTTCTTCTCTTCCTTCAACAGTCAAGTTGTTTCCAATTATTGCTGGTGTCGGGCATGGTTTGGTAGAGTGCATGTTGCTTTTTTTGAGAAGTTCTTCAGTATATTTCATTTGAGTAAGGAAGAGTCATATGCCATCTCTTGTTGCTTCGATGCCAAGGAATAGATGAATGTCTCCAAGGTCTTTTAGCGCAAACAGATCATGAAGTTGATTAATAACACTCTGCATCTTCTCTGGCTTATTTATTGTAATGATTATATCATCAATATAGATCATTATAAAAATTTTAGTTGATTTTGTCATAAAGAAAAATAGATATGTATCTGCTTGTGAGCTCTTGAACCCACGTTCGAATAGTGATGATTTGAATTTATCAAACTAGGCTCTTTGAGCTTGCTTGAGTCCATACAATGCTTTGTTGAGTTGACAAACATAAATGGGATTTTTGGGATCTTCGAAACCTTCAGGCTGCTTGATAAAGACCGTTTCTTTTAGTACTTTGTTTAGGAAGGCATTGTTTACATCCAACTGTTTGATGTTCCACCCATTTGTTACTGCTATGATCAATATCATTCGAAGTGTTGATGCCTTGATTACTGGGCTGAAGATTTGGTGAAAATTTTTGTCAGGTGTTTGATGAAAACCTTTTGCTACTAATCTTATTTTACACCATTAAAAGCTTCCATTAGCATTTGTTTTGATTTTGTAAACCCATTTGTTGCCAACAACGTTCATTTCAAGATGATAAAGAACCAACTTCCATGTTTAATTATTTTTAAGGGCGGTCATTTCCTCCTCATTAGCTAATTTCTAGTGAGAAATTCTTGTAACTTCTGTGATTGAAGTGGGTGTTGTAAGGTCTTTTACCGTGGCTGCTCTGAACAATTAGAAATCTTATGACATGTTCCTTGGTCTGAATATCCCAGCTTGAGCTATGGTCATCATCTGGTATCTTGGAGCTTTTATTAAGGTGTTTTCTGTTTGCTCTCTTTCTTATTTTTATTCTGGTGGTGTCATGTTTTGATTGAGTGGAGACTCTTGTTCTTGTTGCAACATATTTTCTCTGCTTAAAAGGTTTCTGGTGAGTGTTGTGGTGAGGGCTCTGCCACAAGGGAGGATGTTGGTGCTAGAGTTTTTGAGACGTCTTGACTGCTCGTGCTCCCTAAGGAACGTGAAGCTAAAGGGAGGTTGGAGGATATGTTAAGCCATGAAGGTAATGTAATTCTAGAGGCCATTTCATGTTGGTGTGTTTTCACAAATCCATGGTGAAAAGGGAAATTCAATTCATTGAAGACAACATTCTTGGATACATATGTTTTACCAGTGGAGCTGAAGCATTTATACCCTTTGTAAAGAGAGTTGTAACCAAGGAAGACACACTTTGTCGAATGGAAAGAGTGCTTGTGATTTTGGTATAGTCTTAGACAGGAAAAACAGGCACACTGGAATGTTTTTAGCTGTTTGTAGTTGGGTTTTTTGTGGTATAGTTTTTCAAGTGGTGAAGACTAATTCAAGATTAGTGTGGCCATTTTTTTAATCAAGAATACGGCTGTTTCAAAGGCATCGACCCAGTATTTCGGTGGCACTCCTGACTCAGCCAGGAGGGTGAGACCAGTTTCGACTATGTGCCGATGTTTCCTTTCAACCCGTCCGTTTTGAGCCGATGAGTAGGGACAAGAGTATTTAATTTCAATTCCATCGCTTCGAAGAGTCCGGGCTAAGCTAGTGAATTCGCCTCCCATGTGTGATTGTAGACATTTTATTTTCTTTTCGAATTGGGTTTCTATTTGTTGTTTGAACAGGATAAAGGCCTTATGAACTTTTAATTTTTGTTTGAGTGGATAGAGCCATGTGAATCGACTATAATCGTAAATGAAGATGATATAATACCTATGGCCTGAAGATAAGGGGATAGCAGAAGGTCCCTATACATCAACGTGAACAATTTCAAATGATGTTTTTGCATGTGATAAAGACAGCGAATAAAGAAGAGAATGGGATTATCTCAGTTAACACGCATCACATAAGATGTTTTCATTAAACTTGAAAGGTTCATTACATGATTTTAAAATGATAGATAAGGTTTTTAAATATGGATGTCCAAGTCTTTTATGCCACATTAGTGTTCTTGATTTAGAGGTTTGGTTGTTTTTGCTAGTGATCAAGGCTTGATAGGGAG